GGGGGGAGGAGGAGGAGGACTGGGTTTGATGAGACGCCATCCCGGTTTCCACCAATTTTTGAAGCGAAGAAAGCAACAGGAATTGGTGGTTGACGATTGGCGTAATAGACTCGTAGGCTTTTCTCTCACAGTTCGTTGCTCAGGGATCTTGTATTCAGCTGGCAGTGAAGGCTCGTGAAAAGCTAAACGCAGTTGCGCAAGGCATGACGACAGATGACAGTGGCAATGCTATCAGTGTCGAAGAGCAAATCACAGGTCAGTGTTTCAGGGAGTTGTTACTTCACTGATAATGGGGAACTACTGAGTCCCAATTTCACCAACTATAAGTAGGAGGGTATCCATCCTGTTGGCTTCCTTTCCAGTATATTCAGAAAGTCGCTATGTAAGTTTTCATTAGTAAACTATGGACTCTTTCATCTGTGAACTTCAAAACTGCCCAGTATTGCTGAGTTGCGGTGGCTTTGCTACGAGGTTGTCCTACACTTTCGACATTTCTGTCTTACTCGAAGACCTAAACAGGCTCAGAGCTCCAAAACTGCTCGTTATCCTACGGAACGCCTCTTCCTCTATAGCGTTTTGATGTTATCCGTGAAGGATTTTACTTGTTAGGGGTCCGTGGTGTTTTGTAAAAGGCCTTGCCGCTCGGCAGATTCACTTACGGGGTCGTACTTGATCGGCTTTCTCGCAGAATTTTTCTTTTCTCGACTTGGCGATTATATCTTAACAATCGGAGAAATTTATTGAACCTTTAGTTAATACTAATTGATCATGTTGTGTCGTTTGGGTAAATCCGTCTGACGAAGAAGCAAAACGGATCATCCGTGTTTTGGAGTGTTTTCTCTTGCCAATATTTGCTTTTCTTTGTTTCTAATTGTCATGATCAGTCTCAGATATATCGGATAATTTAAAAGGAATCTGCAGGTCAGAAAGATGCATCAAAACTGGTGAACGATGCACTGTAGTGCCCTGTATAGCTCTCTAGCTCTCTCTCTCTCTATCTTCTCTCTCTCTCTCTCTCTCTCTCTCTCTCTTTGTCTCTTTGTACGCGACACAAATATCTCGACTTTTTTTGCGATCATAGAAAAAAAGTGGTAAAACAAGCGCGCAGTTCGGTGAGAGGGCGGCATTTTGCTCTTCAGCTGCTTTCCATCGAAGCGTCGAGCCATCAAGTGTAGATCTGTGAAATCTCGTGAAGTCAGGAAATGATATCAGCCAAAGCTGGTAGAGACCACCTGTCAACTCTTGTAGGGCAATGAAATTCCATACAAATACCATTTATCATGGTGGTTCGACGAGGTTGCTCCAGCTTCACAAGAACTCACATGTTCACCAGAGTGAAACTTTCAAAGCGGAACTAGTGATGTAGCGAAAAAGCAAGTGTCCCCCCACCCCTCGTCGCCGATCTGCTCCTGAAGCGAGTGCTGGAAATGTGTTTTATTCCGTATGAAATTCTAGTGGAATGCCTGAAAGTTAATTAAAATAAGTTTTTTTTTGAAAAATGATTGCACTAAACTATAGTAAGGTTAGCGCAATTCATGATTATATCCAAACTCCAAATTATAAAATGGAATCAACAGACGCGGATACTCACCACTACCATAGTATGCTTACTACATGCGCACTCGGGACTTGAAATCCCGGATCGGCTCCCTCCCGTCCAGTTGAGCGTTCTGCCTCCCGGGGATGAAAGGATAAAAACATTAAATAGTTCAACGGTTGACCTTCGCAAGTCGTTGTCTAGGCTGCATCGCCTTCAGTAAGCCACCAGATTTCGAATGGAAGTGTTACCGCATCTTAAAAAGGGATTAATTAACGGCGAAGACTTCATCCTTGATCACCTGAAATCGAAAGAGCAAATGGCGGGGACTTATGCTGCAAACCGCTTATGCGCCCTTCCTTCACCATCGACCGTCGCGATTCCACATCAGTATCATTATTACCCGCAAAAGAAAACTTAATAAAGGGATGAGAGCACGAAGACTGAGCTTTCTTTTTAGCACGTAGAAAATGGCGCGTTGCAATACCTAGTCGGCCTAACGCTTTATCTTTCCTGCCATTTTCATTGCTGCTATGAGTAATGATTAGAGGCTTCAGCTGATGGGGAGTTGATGAGCTTGTCCAAGGCTCAGCAAGGCTTTGTAAATGTACATACGCGGCATTCGCACCAAGACTCGTACGCCATAACAAGGCAAAGCTGCGTCGTGCCAAGTCAGCTATAGTGTAGTTCGCTGCGGACGGTTGGGCGTGTCAGGCGGGATGAGTTTGGCGCGGTGCCAAACCCGTTCTCCACCAGTTGTTAAAGCGAGCAAATGATATGACTGTATCATATCGTTCGTATTACTCGTTTTCTACCAGTTTTTGTCGCATGCGCGCTTCAGCAAGAAGGCAGAGAACGGATTTGATGGTGTGCGTTTTCATACTGCCTGACACGCCCAACCGTTCGCAGCGAGCTAGATTGTAATTATGAAACCACGAACTTGCACGAGAGTTAGCGTCTCAGGTTTCCTAAAATACCCTAGCCAGCGTCTTTAATGGTGCAAGTTTTCGTGAATTGCAAAATATTAATTGAGAATGGAGGCGTTAGGCACTGTTTAATCGCTTTTGGGGTTTACCACTCATGTCTCCCACTCCCGTTTCATAGTAGGGGTACCACTTTGAATCGCTGGCTTCAACAATGACCTGTAGTGACCAGCCGCTGAATAAGTCAGTGTTATTATCCTTCCCCCTCCCAGAAAAGTAGGGTTTGCTAAAAGGTTTCCCACCTTTAAAGTATATTCTGGTAAGTCCTTAGGCAGTAAGCCCTTGAGTAGTAGGGAACGAAGAGTGTTTGAAAAATAAAGCAGGCCATTTACACGCTGACATGGCCTGGTTCACTGTGGATGTTGGGGCGTGTCAGGGGCTTCGTTTGGGGCGTACCAGACAATTTTCCACCGCTTTGTTGCTCGATCGCTTAAACAGTTGCTGGAGAACAAGTTGGTAATTCTGTTCCCTCTTCAGGGTATCGCTCAAAATTGAAGGAAATAGCGGCCGAAGTGTCTACAGCTGAAGAAAAGTAAGTCTGTCATTCACTGTTCCTTTCAGTTTTTTTTTCAATGATGAGTTTCGTAACCGTTGAAGGAAAAAGCGCATCCTACCCGAGTTGAAGAGAAAGCGAGCTGAATATGAACAGATGGCCAGAAAAAATAGCGCGGAGTCATCGGAATTGAAGACAAGAGAAGTCGAAGTGAAAAAGTATAAGGTAAGTGCAGACAAGGATAAAATTTGGGGAAATTTCACCAAAACTCGATTACTTTCATTTTAAACAGTGATTATCAAATGAAAAATGCTTAAAGTACAGTATTGTCCGCTGCGGACGCTGGGGCATGTCAGGGACTGGGTTTGGCGCTTCACCAACCCGTTCTTCATCAGTTGTGGAAGCTGGCAGGCGAAAATTGACTGGCACCGCGCGGAACCCGACACGCCTCCCCTCACCGTGGAACGCCTCAGCGTGAGCAGCGAAAAAGACGGTTGCGTCCGAGTGATCAGAAAGAGGTCCGGAAAACAGGAACTGGTAGATTCTGATCCGTAGAATTTCATCAGTATTGCTCCACTGATAGTTTCCCGAGTGTTCTGATCAATACTGATCGATATGCATCCTGTCCTTTTCGCCCATTCTCAGTTTGGGTGGAGTCTAATCAATCAATACGTATCTTTTCTTCTTTGCGCATTCTTCGATGCTCCGATTCTGCAGCGGCAAAGTTCGTGAACGCTTCATACGATGAGTCCTAAGTCCTATGATCAATTGCTCGAAGAAGGAGCTCACATTGCTGAGTATCTGACCCTCTGAGGGCATTTTCGCAGTACTCTTGGATATTTTTTTAAACTGTGTGCCTGCTTGTTTGTGCTTTTGACAAGTCCTTGATAAGTACATCTTCTATATTTAGTAGGAAAGAAACGCTAGCATAGTGCGACTTGTGCCCGCAGGGGAAGGGCCGTAAAGGCCTGCCCGCTAATGATTTTAGTTCTTTTCAGCAAGAATTAGCTGCGATAACGTATGACGAGGAATTGGACACGAAGAATCGCGACACTCTTGCCACCTATCAACATGAAGTTCAACAAATGCAAATCAAACTGAATATTCTGCATCAGAAGTGCGTTCAGATTTACTTAAGCTCATGAATTTTTAAAAGCTTTGCGCAACATTATTCATTATGTATAACCAATTTTTGCAAAGGGAATGACGCGTTTATTGCGCATAATTCTCTCGGTTTATCTAATAAGGATGCGGATAGAACTAAGCTTTCTTATAGATTGGGTTTTTTGGGCGGCATTCTACAAGGTCGGGGCATTTTGGTGCGGAAAACACACGGTAGTCTTGTTCGCTGCGTATGCTGGGGCTTTTCAAGGGGGAGGGGCTGTGTTTGGTATGACGCTAGCCTACCTTTCACCACTTGTAATCGCCTTCCAGTTCCCAAAATTTGTGGGAAACAGGCTGGCGCCGCGCCAAACCCAGCACTGAAATGCCCCATCGTTCGCAGCGGACAAGGCTGTATGTAACAACATTTCCTGTTGTTTGAGGTATGTTAGGGGAGAGTGAAACGCGTGGACGGGTGGGTACGCAACGTGTTTGGTTGTCTGCGCCCTCTTACCGAGGAGTAAGGTGGTGAACGTTGTTAAGCAAGGCATCTTGCAGTTGGGCAATTTTTTTTCGGAATAGCCCCCCCCCCCCCCCTTCCGAGATTTTTTTCACGGTGAGACGCCCGGCCATCCCCGTCCTTACTATCATGTTCCTTAGTTTTTCCAACTTCCTGTGCATTTTTCTGAAAGCAAAGCACCGACCTCACTCCCTCTTTCAACCTAAGATCTCCCTCTTTCTAATAATCCTCGACGACAAGCCCGAGCGATGTGCCCATATTCCGAAGTTCCGAAAGGACAGGTAAGGCGAGGCTAAGAGAAGTGCAGGCCATAGTCGCCCACGCTTTAGGGCACCCCCGAGCCACCTCTGCATCCATTTCCCTTTACATAGGTGTTAAGAAGGACTAGCACCCTAGTCTCGACAAGGACATACACATTGGTTTGCCCCTCTTGCACAAGGAACTTGTTCCATCCCACCTCGGAGCTCTTTTCCTCTGGATGTGGCAAAAATCGCTAGCTCCAGTTCACAGTGGTTTTTTTTACACCTCCACACTGCATTTCGAACATCGCAAAAAAAAATCGGAGGAGTGCCATAGAAAAGAAGCTCTTGAAAGTTGGCGGCTTTGAAGGACAAGTGCGAATTAGGGTTACAGTAATGCGCCCGAAGTACTGCACCAAACTGCCCCAACTCACTGAATTCGCCTCCGGATATCTGTCGACTGCGAAGCCTACATCCTACCTCCTTTTTTTCCACCTTCCTTCTTCGTCTCCCTTCTCTCTCCCCTCTTCCTAATTTCCCTTCTTCAGACGCTGGGCCCAGAAGATAAAATTTCTTTGTCCTCGCAGCGAGGATATTCCTAGAGGCCCTGTTATCACACGTGAACTGCGCTTTTTTCAGAGAACAGCTTCGCTTTTTCAGGAATCCTCGTATACATTTTACCTATAAAGACCCATTTGCTGGTTTCAATCGCGATGATGTTCGAGGATGTGTGGCCACCCTGTTCCGTATTAAGGACCCAAAATATGCGTTGGCTCTCGAAATTGCTGCTGGATCATTGTGTGAGTGGCCTTTTCTTTCTTGTTTTTTTTACTTATGGTTCCGGTTGAATAGCATCCGGTCCTCAGGGAAGTCAGAAGATTATACGCTACGAGGATAGATGGGACCACTGTCAAAATGTATTTTATGCTCCACATCAACGACAAAACAAACAATAGCCACGCATTTGTATGGAGAGCAGAGATTTTTTGGGATGACAAAATGCATATATATTATGGCTACAAGCTTTACAAGCAAGAGTATCGCCAGCACATACTCATCACTTTTACAAATTAAGCCACATGTCATTGAGGACATCACGTGTAGCTAGAATCTCCTGGTGAAGGTGTAAGCCACTCCTACCCTCCTTGGACTTTCCCGATAGAACACGTACTCCGTATAGTGCGCCCATCGCTGTTCTTCGTAATCACCACAATTTCGATGGTTCATTAGGTCCTGAAATTTCAAGTAATGTCCAGAAAGAATGAGTGAGAATGCCAGGAAAGTGAAGAACAGGGTTTGACGAAGCTGACTGCATGAGTGGGCGGAGTGCTGTCTACTAAGGGCATGTTGACGGTGCGGCAAAAGCGGTGTCGCATCATCGCGCGGTAATCTACTATCTGCGCCCACGCTGCATTAAGGTATCTTGCCGGCGGCGCGGCAAAAAGACGGAATGTAGCGCAGCAGTCGCCGGGTGGTGATTACTAGTGGTGACGACCCACTCTGCTCGGCCCACCACCACAGCATTAAACCGCGTGAATGCGGTGCCGCTATGTCGCGCCGACGACAGCTGTCTCTTCCGATGTCCGCGACGTAAGCAGGCGGGTCAGACTTCGCGACGGCATGCGCTCGGTCGGTTTGGCGCGATCAATTCGCACGCTTTCAACTGCATCAATCGCGTCGAACGCGCGATCGATGTGCTGCCGTCGCGAAGTCTGAACGCTGCCTAAGCCCTCTGAGCGACACCCTCAGCAGGCTAACATGTTACTAAAGGATGAAAATATTATTCTGTACTCCCTGCGGGAGTTCAAGGAGAGGGGCATAAGGGAAATAAGTCCACCAGTTGCTTCTGGTCAGTACGCACACCCCTCATATAGAGACTTTTCGTCCGCGACTACTCAGTTCCCGTGCGGAAACTCATTCATCTGCGCAGGTGACGAGCCGTGTCGCAATTTGCCAGAGTAATATCCCACTTCTGCCGACGCAATGTGCATGCGCTGCAAGGCGCCTTGGCTTAGCGACGACAGGCCTAGGCTCCGGCCATACTCGAGCTAGTCCCTCCCTTGTTCATTTTAGAATTAAATATCGGCACTTCAGAGAATTTCATCCATTATGTGATCTAGCCATGCTTCTCTCATGGATTGCTTCTCATTTCTATTCTGAGCCTCTCTGCACTTGCTCATTTGGTGCTATGGGTGCTCAGGGATATTAGAGTTTTTTTGACGGCTTTGCTCTTCTCTTGACCACAATTCCTCTTTCTTAAAGTACGCTGAGTGTCGAACCGTACACGCTAGACGGTTGACGGCGCTCCTTCTCAAACGGGCAATGACGATGGCAAGACCGGCCCGCAAGATGTACCAAAAAAGGGCATAATGCGTGGGGGCGAGGTTCTTGCCAACGCCATTGGTGGAAGGGCTAAATGGGTGTAGCAACACCCCTCGCACGCCGCCCCACGCCAATGACACTGGCAACAACCGCCCACCCCCTGCCATCGTGCCCACCGCCTTAAAAGTCCAGTTTCACCTGCCATCTTATCTCTTCCTAACCTCCGATTTCTCGGACCAATTCCTCGATTCCGAATGCAACGCGTCAATGCAACCTCTCTAAGCGGAGGACAAATATGGACCCCCTCCACAGCGGAAGCAGCGCTCCAACTAACCGGCCCAAACTCTAAGAATTCCATAACCACGCCTTGCTCTTCTCCAGCTGCTCTTCAGAGGGCCTCGGAAATGATGTTAATTTCCGATACCTTTTTATGTCAGCGAAGTTGCTCCTAATAGGACTGAATGTGCTTGGAGACTCAGGAGTTTCCCCAACCGATCGAACACTTCTTCATCGAATGATGAGAAAAGAAAACCCAAATTCAAGGAAATTAGGCTTATCCTGTTCACATCGGCAAAGAAGACCTACGTCACTTTTAATCAGTCTAAATGCTCCTTTACCCGTGCATTTTTCTGATGTCGTTGACCAGGCGGGCTACCGAAAAGCTCGTTTTGCAGTGGAATAACCGATTGTTTCAACTTTAGCGTCCCCATTGCATCTCACGCAGCCTTTAGGGGAGGTTAGGGACAAAGCAAGAAAGGTACCTTCAGGGGAGGATAGGGAAAAGCCAGGAACGGCTCATCTGTGTCCTCTTAAAACACTTTAGATCGAACAAGCTCTGCAAGAGCTGCCAGGGATCCAAATTTGCATTATGAGTGTTGCCCTCTAAACCCTGGAGATGGGAAGGCGCAGGCTGGCTTTGGTGGGGGGGGGGGCACGAAATGGTACTCAAAGAAGCATGTACAGGCTATATACAATGGTACTTAGCCAGGCTTGTACTGGAAGACCTGCGAAGCCCTGTGACCTGGTTGGCTCACTCCAACAATGTCACGGCTTCACAGGAGCGTACAGGTCTGACCAGTGTGAAAAATGTTAGTTAACATGGACTGGCAAAAGAAAGCAGCAAAAGCGGAAAATGCCCCTCCAAGACGAACTGTGCCCACGTTACCCCTGCCACGGGATATGGAGTGCATTTATCATGGCGTGGCATAGTAGAGTCACTCAGTGGCTTCTTTCATCTACGTTTGCGCATTGCTTTCGAGCAAAACTAGGTTTTTTTGACTGCGCAGGAACAGGTGCAGAGCGAAATGTGGTAGCAATGAAGCGAACGCTTTCACTCCTGAACGCGAATGTACAATTGCGTTGCAGAGGATTAAATTACGGTAGAGTCGAAGTGATTAACTCTCACTTGAATTCCCGTCAGAAATGAAAGGGTTTAGTGGGATTGAAAGGTTCAGGTGTCTGAACACGTGATGCGTGCATTTTCTCTAGATGGCTGCTCAGATGCATTCAAGGCACGCCATGGTGATGAGAAACATGTGAGGTTTTTCTTTTCCCTTCGGGGAGAACAAAACCCTATCCTCCTGTCGAGGAATACTCAGCGCTAGGCATGTTCTAGCTTCAATTAAAACTAGCATGTAATGGCAATAGGATACGGTACAATCGAAAGATTACGGTAGAAGCAGTAATCAGAATAAAAGTCATAAAATTTCATTGAAAGTCTGCAAAGTAAGAAGAGAGGTCGTTATGGCATCAAAGTCACGAAGCTAGAAAGATGGGAGACAGCCTTAGTGGTGCCTTCGATAGCGCTTTGTCCTGGTAAGCTAGAGATACCGATTAGAGCCCCACTTGGGTCAAGGGTTTTTGGTCATAACTCACCATTTTTGTAATAATTAAAGCAATCAAATGTGAAGGCCATGCGAAACAGGGCACCTCCTGCCGTTTGGGGGAAAGCTTTGCAAAGTGCGACCTCCCTTGGTACGGCCTTCCTACTGCACCCTCGTTCTCCCCACTTTTTTGAGGGGAAAACTTCAAGTTCTCACCTCTCCACCAGAAAACTATTGTTGAGCGGGAGCGAGCAGAAGCTAAAGAAAAGTTAGCACCAGTTGAGGATCCCAGCGCTTTTTCAGAGACACACGATCCTCTCCTTCCAGCGATCAGCTACGCCCCCCCCCCCTCTTCCTTCGCTTTTAGAAAGCTCGTGTTTCGAATACAGGAACCAGCGAAACCCCACCAGAGCTATTTTTTCCCCAGGGGAGTGGCTTGATCAGTAGCCCCCGGCCCAACACTGCATCTCAGCTGTTTGATATCAACAGAGCTTTTTGTCATGAATATGTACACCCAGAGGTGCCCCTTGGGTGTTTATTACCCCATTTTCTGCTCTCATCCTTCGCAGTTGTTGTTTTGGGCAACTTTTGAGCTATAGCTTGCATGTGGGGCTTTCTACAAAGCACCTTCCCCCATCATGACAACGGTTTTTTGCGAAAAAGGAGAAAAAAAAGAGGAATTTTTGGGAAAAACCCGGAGAAATGGTGGGAAATTAATAGAAATTTAGGATGATGTTAGGCAGGATGAGCGATGGGAATGGTCTAACTGGAGGAGGAAAATTTGTGTGGGGAGTATTTTGCAATAAATTTCTCGCATATGTAGGACATGCCCTGTGCGCTCTATCTTTTTTCCCTTGAGGGTTCTAACGGACGGACCTCTGGGTATTGAGGGGGAGGTGCGATGAGCAAGTCAGTGTTTTTATCCTTCCACACGAGTTTGGTACCTACTTACCGATCCCGGAATGAAAGATGGGTAGGCCCTGTTCAGAGGACTTGAGTTTCGACTCAGATCCACTGCTAACCGGCGCCACTTTTGGACCTTTTCTAGACCTATGGAGTTCTTCCGATCGATTCTGATGTAAGTGGATTTAGAAATTCTAGATGCCAATTTTAAATTGACTTCGTCCCTCGACTTTACCCTCTGACTATGCTTATGGCGTCCCTGGGGAGATTTCTTGAATTACGCTGAATTTTGAATGAAAAAGTGAACAACAGCTTCTAAGCTGTTTTGCATGGCAGTAAACAATCCATATGTTGTGTGGGTTGGCTCACCGTTGGAAAAAAATGTTTTTTTTTATGTAGTTAACCTTTTGATGTACTTTTACATACTCAGAACGCAGGGAGGGGTGTGGTAGAACTCCGGGTCGTCTTTGCTTACGTTATATCAGCTTATGTTATATTTGTCTAAGGCTGATTGTTCGGTAGTATACGTCAAGAAGGATGGAAGTCAAGTCAGAATCTGCATGGCTGACCCACGCAAGTCATTGGGTGGGCCAAATTGCGACCAAAACATCCTACGGTTCTGAATCAGGGCACGTCCTGTCACTGGCGAAAACTTCTATTTTTTAAGAGTTCGACCAGCCAGAAATTTGCTAAGGTAGACCCACACCAACCTCTCCATCCTACCTACCAGCTTGCTGGATTGTTTCTCGCTTTTCCAGTTCGAACCCTCCCCCTCAAAAATTTGCCGTTGAGGTGGGGTGGGATCGCCAGCCACCAAATTGAAGTGGATAGCGCGTGTGAACCAGGAAAAATCAACTGTCAAATAAATTTCCTGTGGCTGATACGACCCCCTCCCCCCTACAGCGGCCATATACTACCCGCGCCGGGATACTCTAGCGTACTGTATGCCCTTTTGAATGGAGGTGGGGCTCACCCCGAAAAGGATAGAGAAACCCGGGAGCGTCATCCTTTATCCACTTATCTCTTAACTGCATTTCAATACCGTATCCTTAGGTTAATAATTGCCTAATCCATTCGTGGCTCAAAAGCAATAATCGTAATCAATTTCCATCAAAGTATTCGTTCATTTTATGGCGCTCATCGTTGCTCTTCGCATCTGAAACGTTCAATTAGAGTGATGGTCGTGGACTTTTCATGTTTCCATAAAAAGGGTAATATAATCCCAGAATGTCTGAAAGTTTTGTAGACGTTTCCCATTTTGCTAGACGTTATTTGCTAGGCGTCACCCATTAGCTGATGACCCTTCTTTCTGAATCTTTCAGGAACTTCAATGTTTCAAAAAATTAAGTGGTGGTGGATTTCGGGAGAGTGAATTCTGTGGGAGAGTTTCTAACGATGAGATCCTTCTTCTAGGCGCTTGAGAGAGGAATTAGAGTCAAGGCACGTCGTACGCTAAGGATTCCCAGTGGGAGTGGTCGTGTTTGGTGACTGGACAGAGTGGGTAGTATTTGCCGGGAGAAATGTGCTTTTCTCGGGTTAATTCGTCTTCATTATGCTGTATACCCCTCCCCTCTCCCGAAAGCAGTATTTCCGGTAAGAACTGGAGAGCAGGAAAATTTTTGGAAAAGTTGCGGAAAAAGTGCTAGCATGGTAGGATTGGAGATGGAAAGGAAGTTGAGCCAGAGAAGATTCCAGAAGGGCAAGACGTTTTCTTCAAATTTCCCGAACGGTGAGACGTGCCATGAGAGTCCAAGTTCACTGCTCTTTCGACTAGAATTTCTGTGGATTTGTTGTAAGTTGTTGGGAATCAGGGCACGTCCTACGTTGAGTTTTTATAGTGAGGGAGTCGTATTTGGTCCCTAGGCAGAGGAGGTCGTGTTTGCCTCTGAGAAAAGAAATGCTTTGGAGTTACGACTTCCCTTAGGTTTTTCCGGTTCCGCGTGTGATGTGTACCCCCTTCCCGGCTCTATGGCGGTTTGTCGGAGAGAAGGGGGAGGGAAGTGTAGAAAGGGAGGAGTTTTTGGAAAAGTCCCGGAAAAGTGGTGGTCAGGTAGGATTGGAGATGGGAGAGGTACCGTACCGGAGGAGGAAATTTAGAAGGATCGCATTTCGCATTTTCTTCGACTATAGGACGTGCCTTGAGGGAATACGGAAATTCCCCTTAGCTGCTCTTTTAATTGCTGTTTTTGCGAATGTGCAAGATTTCCTAGAAGTGAACGCTTTGTTCTGCCCATTGTGACAGGGAAATGAGGCGAATGTGGTGCGCGACTCGATAGCGGCCGTAGGCGGTCGATTGACGACTTGCGTGCTTTGCCTCCTGGCATTCGATGGCCCAATGTCCGCTGAGAATAAAATCAGCTGCTGTGATTCAGTGCCGTGTCATTCCACATGATGATGGGTATCGTAAGAGAAGATGACGCGTTCTCTCGAGGTGCCCAGATTTCCGTTTCTTTAGTTGCTCGAAATTAGGGTCGTTAGGGTCTTCTACGAGTTTCTAGAGTAAGGAAGTAAAAGTTTCTGCTTTAAGGCAGTAACAGAGATGAGTGTTAAACTCTCTCCAAGAAGTCGCAGCAACATGAGAAGTGATCTCGGCCCTGTTCGGCATCGAGGGGGCATTCTGCATGTTAGCTAGTCCCTTTTATTAGCTCATGTTGAATAACAGGTTTTCCTTCGGTGAAACATGTGAAAATCTGTGAAGCTGCAAAATGGTGGGAAATTACCACTTTTTTCCCAGGAATTAACTGATCTTAACAAGATGTCCTGTAAAAGCTTAGCCAAATGCCATCCGGTGCCCTCACCAAGCCGAACTGCGCCGTGACCTCTGTCAAAGTAAAACAGACTTGTGGTTGAACTAATAGGTACTGCCTCAGTTTTACAGTTCTTTCTACGCGACTCACTTACCACTTGTGAAAGTGAATATGCGTGGGAAATGTGTGGGAAGGGATTAGTTTAAGCAATGTTGAGAAAACATAAGTGCTAGGGAATAGAGCTAGCGGTGTTTTTTTCTCGATCCGTTTGTAAAAACCGTCGCGGCGGTTCACAAAATAATGCGAATGTTGCCAAAATCATTAAAAAATACTGAGTCATGGAAAATTTGTTGTTCATAGGTAAATTTTGACCCCAACGTGACCCTCATGTTTATTGAGCTTGTCTGTGGTAGTAATATTCAGTACTGGTATGAATAATGTGATAGCACTCGTCTTAATAGAAACCTATGAGGATGGACCCAGTGCCCAGTAACGATGAGAAATCTCCACGGGGGGGGGTTTACTTGATTGCTGTGTTCAACTTGTGTTAAGGGTAAGGAAGTAGGATATTTGGAGAAAGTAGGGGAAGATTTTATTTGTACCCCCCCCCCCCGGGTAGATATTTTTTGTGAGAAATCGGAGCTCAAGGGAGATAACGTAGGGCTTTCAGATTCAAGGAGTCGTACTTGAATCAGCGTTGAAGGGTAAACGCTAAATGACCACTTTTCGACGTCGTGCTGATGAGTTTTGGGTTGATCAAAGGTCAGAGTGCCGTGGGACCACTTACACCATTACTCGCGTTGATGGGCTTTTTACGAGGGTCTGTCATCAGATGTGAAACGGTGGTGGGAATACCATTTTCGGCGCTGTTCGGCTTCGTAAGGGCATTTCGCACATTCGCTAGAAGCTGCAAAATGACAAAAGTGAGCTACATTGGTAACAGGAATGTACAGATCTTCGCGAGGTGGCTTGAACAGGCTCAGAGCACTATGTTGCCCCCACCAGCTGAACTGCGCCCCATTTTGCACAAGGATGGTCTTGTTACAATCCTCTCACAACCTACGCCCCCCCCTCCACCCCACCGAATAACCAAACCCTGATGAGATTGCCAAGACGGTGACGCCTGCTGATTCCTGCGGCCGTTTCTACTGGTTCCCTAGCTTTCAAAGTCCTGCGGTAAAGGATAAGCTGATATGAATCATTAGTGAAGCAGCTGTTTAAACATGAATTTTCGAGTTCCTTTTTGGTTATTTAAAGCTGGCTGCTGTATAGTTGGCTCAGTTAGAAGCAGTGAGAAAGCTAAAAACAAGGTAGAAGAAAATATTTTCAACTCCTACCCGATCGCTGATGGGAGGTTAGCTCATGTGGATTAGTTCCTAATCTGCCGTGGCCGCGTGAGCGCTTTCTCACAAATGAAAAGAATCTGATGCATTCCCAAGAGAGTAGAAGAGAGAATGTATTGAGAACAATGAAACTGGTGAGAATTCGTTAATGGAAGATTCATGGAATCAGGAAAAAATCTCGAAAATAGCTGAAAGAATCGGGAGAATTACCGTTGTACTGGCTCCACTTAAAGCACCGGCGACAATGGGATGATTAGCAGCCGCGAGTCCGTTAGCACCACTGCAACACGTTGCGACCAATTTGAAGCCTTTTTCGGCCATGACGTCACAGGCCTGAATATTTTATGTTGCAATAATAAATTGATGACTGGCGGCCCTCAGTATTGCCCTTTAAGCGTTCCTTTGCCAGGTTTCCTACATGTTTCAATGTTATTTGTATGCATGGTTAAACACATCAGTTAAGCCTCATCGACTTATGTCGTTGTTTTGAGACTTGGCTCCAACGAGAGCGAGTTATTTAGCTTTTCCCCGCCGAGTTATTTGGCCCCTACCGCCTCTGCCTATGCACTGGCATTGAACATTATTTTCCGTATGTAGCGAGGGCGTTTTCCCCACCTCATTTAACAAATCTCAGACGCCTGCAAGCACGTCATTAAAGCGAAGGCGGAAGTCTGGCTGGCTGTGGGGTTGAAAACCCTTATCAAGATAAATGGTACATACTCGTTCGAGGCATTGATGCTTGAGATAAAGCCGTGAAGTATAGCGCTCGCCATCATCGGGTCCACCAGGATCACGACTTTCGTTCAACGTCTCGCCAAAAACCTCACGGCATAACGTCGCTCTTCCACAAACGAGGATTCGATGTAATTTCCGGAACTTGACGTCTGCTTGGCCGTCCCGTCCGAATGCAAATGTACCTCGGTAGCCAAGAGTAATGTAGCCTCCTGAAATGCAATTTCTATGGACAGTGATTGAAAACAGCTGTGGAATCTATACAGGGCATGTCATGCCGCTGGGAATAATTTTACAAAATGAGACCCTACCTTTCAAAAATTTCCCCTCTGAACTCTTTCCAACCTACAGTCTTCCTGAGCAAAATTTTTTCCTCGGAAATTTGTCTACTTCTCCCCAAAGAATTGCCATGGAGCGGGGGGGGGGCTATAAGGCGCACATGAAACGAGAAAGCCAAGAGCACTATCTACCATTATCCTCCCCAACAAGTCTCTTTCCGGCATCTTTTTTTGAAGGGTGGAACTGACTGAAGATTCGTTTCCAGGGATAGTATAACCTCTTGAACAGCTTGAGCTTGCACGAGCTCGACTCGGAAGCCGCCCGGCGGCGCGCCCAGAGACGCCGGCCAAAATGCCTTGAACCACAATTGCTGAACCGCTCTTCCGATCATGACACCTGCTCAGCAGTTTTTCTATGTCCAAAAGGTCAAACTGCCTATGGAAATGAATTATTACTCAAATCTGAGCTCGTAGGATCGGTAAAAAACTGGGCCGATCTCGAAAGATTGGGGCAGTAAAGGGTAAAAAAGTGCGAAACCGAGAAAAATCGACGACAAAAATTTTTTTCAGCGGCAAGTACGACCCTGCCTCTAAGGAATAAACACGACCCCCCACTTCGCTGTGGACCCCCAATGTACGATGTCCCCTGAATTTGTTTTCCACACGAGAATAACCTAAGTGCTCTTCGCAGTCGATATCCGTCAAAAATCCCTCTCTGTAAATTAAATTTATCAAAATGAGTGCTAGTTTTGCTAGCGCGCCATGTGAGAGAACGCCACATTGATTATTCCGATGGAGCTACTTAAAGAACGATTGGAATAGGCCGATTTATTAGCCCATATTAAATAGTTCAACTTACCAGTCTCGTTTATCGGATAGAAAGCTCCATTGGAAAGTTTTGGTTTCATCGGAGTTAACGTTGTAAGTTGTGGACCAAGTGCCGTTCGTAGCTTTTCGATTTCGTAGAATTCAATTTCATTCTTGAGACGTGCAACGTCTGCGAATCCTTCAGGCAATATTAGCTTCTCTGTTCGTAGATAGTTGAGAATGTGAGAAAATAATTGGCCATCTCGATCGATAAAATATTTGTTTTTGTCGAGTTGAATAATTGCTTTTGGTAGAGATGATGTAGAGGAGCTGGCTATTCTATAGAGTAATGTGTCAGGTTCTTTCATTAACGTTCGTCGAATGGTGCTGTAGTGCGTTCCACCGACATTTAATTCGATAACATCTTCGTCCATCAGCCTGAATGCCAAGCTCTTAATAAATGAAAAGCGTTGAATCGAATGTTTCAAGGCGCAATTCGGCTCAGAGGGGGCATTTTGTGAGTTTACATGGGGCCCCTGTGAAGCTACAAATTGCCTGTAAGGGGTGAGCTTTCAGAGAACTCCGGTGAACTCTAGGAAATGCTACGAAATGTTACGAATTTTTAACTAAATCCACTTTCTGCACAAAATGGCTCACTCTTTCCGGAACCTCCTCCCCCCCCCTCCCCAAACGCCGGGCGCTGTTCGGTGACCGGGGGATGGACCTTTTGCACATTCGTCGCTACACTAGTTCCGGTTTACATGTCCTACTGTGGTGAAACCTGTAAACCCTTGTTAAGACTGGAGCAAGCCCTTCGAGTCACCACGGTAATTATTTCAGCTTTTTTAAACTCTCATGAAGTAGCTCTGTAGATGCACGTTGAGTGAAAGCAGCTAAAGTGCAGAATGCCTCCCCCCCCCCCGTCACCGAACTGCGCCGGATTGCCGTGATAATAGTGGCTCGCCTGAGGCCACGGATGAATCTACCCATGTTTTCTAGCGATTTTTCAAATAATGTCTATATTCTCCCTCGCTGATTAAGCAAATATTGTCATCTCCTTGGTTCACAAGAGTTTGCAGGTCTTCTCAAAATAGCCAGGGAGGGGGACACGAATTAACGTGATGCTTTCCCCTCTAAGCCGATTTGCTCGTGCTTCAATACCGGAATTGAAACCAGAACTGCTAGCGAAAGGATAATAATATCGATAAGATTCGTAAGGTAGAAGTAGCATGAGAGCTATAATATAATGGCTAAGGATGACGAAATAGGGTCATAATGGAGAAGGGGGTCGAGGTAAGTGTGGTGAGCGAGGAAGACAGAGGTGAGATGGTGGTCGTGGTGGTGAAGAGGCTTCGCTGTTACCCGTGTGTGTGGGGCGTGGCTCGCAACTCCGCCTTCACTATCTGTGACCGCCTTGACGCGAGGAATATACTAGTTTTTTCCATTTGGGATAGGAACTTGAAAAATTCTACTCGAAAATTCAATCAATAAGTGTTCTGGGCATTGGTTTCAGATTAGTTACACCGGATTAGATGCGATTCTTGTGCAAACAAGCGCTAATTGCTCCGGCATTTGTCCTGGCAAGAAAACAAAGGCATGCATGGCATGGAATACGCAGCTGGCCGCAGATTAGGAAAACCCTCACGGCTGACTGGCCTAGACACTGGTCGTCGGGCTCTGTTCCTGCCCTTTTTCATGCCCGATTTGGCTCGTCTGCTGCTATCTGCTGCTGCCAATCACCATGCGCGAAGAAGGCTCCATTACGGGAATTGGCTTTCCTTGAATCATCATTGATTACATCTTGCCATCAAATATTCGAACTTAGGTTGCTCGGCGGAGTTTGGCAATGGAGGGGGCGCTCTCACTTCGCGCTCTCACTAGTTGCGGTTTACAAGACTCCCCACGGTGAAACCTGTGAACTCTTGGGAAGCTGGGGCCTGCTCGACGAGCCACTATGGTAAATGCAACTGTATGGTTTTTCATGGTTTTACAAGTGTTGACAGGTTTTCTTGAAAAGAATTGACAGGTTTTTTCACAAGAGTTCACAGCTCTCCACGGGATGGAAGGTGGTAAAAGTGCAAAATGACCTCACCCCCCCCCCTCCCACCCAGTGATCATCACAGCGAGGGGTCGTATTTGACCGCGAGGGAGGGGGGGGGTCGTATTTGGTCTGAGGAAAATTTTTTTGATAGTTGATTTCTCTTGTTTCACGGACGCTATAAAGGGGGAGGGTCGTATTTGGTCGTTGTTGGGAGAGGGACTGCCAAAGATCTATACAACTACTATTTCCGATAGTTGAAAATGATAGTTAACGACCTGAGGGAAGTTGGGAAAATCTAGGAAAGTGGTAGGTAGCATGGGGAGGGGGTCGTATTTGAGGATAGAATTAGGGGGTCGTTTTTCAGGAATGATCACAACGCGATGGCGTGCCCTGCCCGCTTCCCCCCCCCCCCCCCCCATCGTCGCCGAACTGGCCCATTGTTGTTTCTGCTGTGCTATGTTGACTTTCGGAAAGATCTTGCCTCTAAATTGGCTTATTGCTTGGACCTAATTCTATTTGGACTATGAACGAATTTTCGTCCCCGAATCTCTGTGAGCCCTGAACGAAATTTCGGAGCTTGCTCTTTTTTCTATGAAGGGATACAATTACCAAGTTCGCGCTCGTCATTAGCGCTGTGTGGGTGTGATATATGGACTTCCATAGAAAATAATGCCATGCAAGGCGAGACATATACACTAACATTTATGTTGAATTTCAGTGTACTCAGTGGTACGTGAAGGACAAGACCACGGCTCGTCTCATTGTGGAAACTGGTCTACCACATCGTCGTACGTTCGTGCCATGGACCGAATGTGTACCTCGTCACTATCATGACATTGCTCAGCGCTTCCGCAGAGCGCAGGATATTGTGAGTTATCAGAAGTTGTTTTATTTGATGAGGATGTGTCTTGGAAGGGGTTACACGATAGCGAGGCTGAGTCTCACAGATAAGCTCTCAGCCTCACAAGCTCACGTCATGTTGTTCAATCAGGAAAAGAATCAAGAGTGGGATATGTCCTGATTAGGGCGATTTGATTGTCTCATGTCAGAATACGTTACGCTCACTCGGGGAGAGGGTGTAGATGAGCAGACATGACGTGGCTCGGTTCGAATGAAGTAGAGGTTAAAAGAGTCATCTTTGTCGTGGAGTCAGAGCACGTTCTGCCTTAGTGGGGACTTTTTCACAAAATACGCCCACTTCAGGGTTGCTGGTACGGAGCCCCCTCTCCCCTTCGCGCCAGCCCTAGACCTAACTTTGTTCCAGAGTTGTTTTTTTTCAAATATTCCCCAGTTTTTCCTCTAGAAACACAGCGGGAAACATTTTTTCGAAGCAGACCCGACCACCTTCCCTCTCTCCTCCAGAGACCGAATACAACTTCCCCAACACTGAAAATTTCTTCCTTTGGTAGACCAGCCATTCGCACCCCCCATCCTCCAAACCATGTTCTTGAACTCTCCCAACTTCCTGCCACTTTTCCGCATTTCCAAAGTTTTTCCTGAAGTTCCCCTAGTTGTTCTCTAGAATTCTGCCATCGAGCGAGGGTAGGAGGCGACTGGAAACGGTTTTATCACAATCGGATGCGAACGTCCTCCCTCCCTTCAGCGACCGAATGCGATCCCCTCTCTGGTGATATGAACCCCACCAACGCAACGTCCGACGTTCCCGGTCTTCATTCGATCATTTTCCTTAGGGCGTGTGTCACGTGGTTCAAGGATGGGACGTGAACCAGGGTTTCATGATTGATGATAGTGCAGGGTTTCCATTAATGTTACATGATTAAGCTGCTAGACACCGTTTACATCGGCGTTGCGCTCTTAGAGGCCAATTTTTGCTCTTCAATTCAGTTTCATTTGAGAATTTGTTTGAAAAGGTGTACTTTTTGATTAAAAATTGCGTATGTCGCCGACAGCTTGTGGTTAAATTGCTATTCGTGTCTGCGACAAACGAGCATTGAAATCATTTTGTCACGGAAGCCAAAACGGAATGCATAAGTTGACATGTCTGAGGGCGAAGAACTGTCCCGATATTCGGGGAAAGGGATATGCGAGTAACCAGCCCATAAAAACTTATAACGATCACTCATCGCTATTGAAGCTGCTGATTGCTGAATCATGTTTCTGAAGAAGACCCAGGTCCGAGTGATGGCTGTGTCAAGGGTTTTGTCACCAGCTCACCATTCTTATGTTTACTTTCCCGAGGCTCAACAAAATATGCTCTGCCCAGCGTTCATACTTCACGGCATGAACGATTCGGACATACTACTGCGA